AAAATGGTGGAAACAGACAAGTATATATGAAGCAGCATGTCTGTCATTTGAAACAGCAGGTACATTACATTGGAGATATTCAAATGCCTACAGGAAAAGAGCAATCAGTCATAAAGTAGCAGGTATCATATAACAACATGATAGCAATTTGCTTGATACTGTATTTATTGTTCTTCTATATTTGTTACCTCAGGCTGCTGTAAGCTGAACTACATATCACTGAGGAATGTCATAATGATCAGTTGACTCGACTCTTATTAACGGCTAAGCATTGCATTGCTATATAAAGTCATCTTATGTTGTTGTGTGTAGCATTAACATAGCCATCTGGCTAATTCCACTGAATGCCACAGCATTAGCAACACATTGAAATGTGGTGCTGTTGCCGCTGACCACCAGCTGCTCTTAACACAGAGGTGTGCAGCACAAGCACCATCTACATCATGGATAACTGGTCATCAGGAGAGCTGTAGACTATAGATGTTGATGTGTGCGCATGCAGGTGTATGTGTTATTGCCTGTTTTTTGTTTCAGACAGTGAACTTTATGTGTACGCATCTGTATGTTTGTGTGTGTGTGTGTGTGTGTGTGTGTGTGTGTATGTGTGTTGAACTGTGAGTATGTTCAAATGTGCCCCTCTTTCTATTTATGTACACACAAGATTGTCTCTGTATGTCATGCATTGCATTTGCCATCCCCTGTGACTCTGTTTGCTGTGTTGTGCACCCTGACCTCACGCTGCCATTTGCTTTTTCCGATTATTAATTCAGCATTTGCTGTCACGACCAATTACAGTGTCTCACGCCACATGACCTGTGACCCATCCTTCTCTCTGCCTGTTACATGCCACACACAGAGTTAAGACCAAGTGGCCCAGATTGTTTGTTTATTTTCCCTCCTACTGTAAGTGATCACGTCCTTCGGGGAGCTTCCCTCCATACAGCACCTTGGCTGTGTACTCTCCAGTACGTTGAAGTGAATTTGGTAGATGTGGGCTAGCTATATAATGATAAAGAAGACAGATAAGGCTATACAAATGGATGCAGCAGAGGAATTGTTAGAAACTCTTTGAAAAGATGCACATTAAAGGCTTGATTCCAGGCCCCAGGGCCCCCCTGCTTCTATAAGCCGCACTATAGCATTACTTAGCTGTCTTCTCCCGTTTTTTAAACTACACTAGTACATTTTTCAGTTGTATAGGTTTAAGTGCATTAAGCAAGTGTGTGTGGACATCTGTGAAAGAGTCCATTTTTATGTGTACAGGTAACAACTGGCATACAGAAAGCTCACATTCCTGTTTGTTACGCTTATTTTCCTTCCAGAGCTTATCATCTTCAGTATTACGTATGCAATGTTTATGTGAGACATGTCTTATCAGCCTCGACAGTACTTGAGGACGTCTGCGCTACACTGAAGACAGTATTATGCACATAACTGATCCCCTTTCTTCCTCTCCATATCAACGACCTTGCGTGTCAGTCATATCATATAGAACACATACATCTGGTGAGAGGTACTCGCCGGCGAGATTCGAGAGCACCATGAAAGGGGAATGGACGGAAGATTTGTGTGTGTACATGAATGCATTTGTGTCTGTGAAAGAGAGCGAGAGAAAAGAGATGTGTAAATTAGGAGACAAGGAGTATTAGACAATTACAGATCTATGTCCTTGTGTGCACAATACTCTCTCTCATATATATATACATACAGTATATACACACATATAAACACGTATGTACATACTGAAAGAGTGCATGTGTCCCTCGTTTGTACATTTGCAGTTGTCTGTTCAGTTCAGCCTACTCTTGTAGGCAATGCAGGAGTACACAGCTGTTTTTGAGGATTGTGATTTGTTTATGTACATTGAAAGGAAGGACGATATGAAGTGCATGTCAGCAACGTGACCCTGCATTAGTGTTGCAAGTGCAGTTTTCACAGAATATATGGGTCCTCGGTTGCGCTTTGATCCCTCATATAGTGGTGTGGTCTTTGTGCCGCTGATTGTGTGTATATGTATTATCCTTACCGCAGAGGGATTAAACAGGTGCTCGGTTACGAACCAATTCTGTCCACACATGTTGGAAAATACAACATCCATCCATCCACACATCGTCAACCGCTTATTCTGTGCACAGGGTCGCAGGGGAAAATTTTCCAGTGTATTTGTTATCATCAACATTTTTATGTTTTACGTTTGCTCAAGCATGGAACAGGAAAAACAGATCAGTGATTTAGTTTACATTAAACATATCATCATGTCATCAATATTGCCTCACAGCAAGAAGGTCCCGGGTTCGAACCCTGGTCCTCCCTGCCTTTCTGTGTGGAGTTTGCATGTTCTCCCCGTGTCTGCATGGTTTTCCTCCGGGTGCTCCCGTTTTACCCACCATCAAAAACAGTTTAGGCAGGTACTCAGTCAGTGCCGTTTGACCAGACACTTTAATCTGGAGTGGGTCCCCGGGCTGCTCAATGCTCCCTCCAGGGATGAGTTAAATGCAGAGGATAAATCTCGCTACATGTATGTGTATATGACAAATTAAGTACCTTTACACTTACATGGGATGCTTTATAATTCAGTTACTTGAATTTGATGCCTGATTTTCTCTTCACAACCCTGATATTCTGCCTTACAGTTTCAGGGTGTTTCTCAGTTTCTAATTTTAAATCAGAAGTCATGTAAGTAGAAACATTGACTGCCTTTAGGTCCTACTGGTCTGTCCCTATCCATCGCAAAATATAAGAAAAGCTGGTTGTGCTGCAGCCACTTCCTTCATAGTAAACAACAATATCCCCGTATGTTTACTGACATCAGTAAAACGAATTAGGTGGGGGGTGCACCACAACAAAGTTGCTGCAGGTGTAAGTGCATTATATTGTCTGATGTCACTTATCATTCAGAACGGTCTCTTATGGTGCCCACACTAGACGCTGTAATGATAATGGTGAAGGAAGTGGCCCATTTCCAGCCTGTGGGATCTCCTGGTGTCCCAGTGAGTTGTAGTTCTTCATTGAAAGAACCAGTTCAGCGTCTGTGGCCTCTGGGTGTTGCATTAAAATATATATGGCTTTAGATCACTTTAGTGTGTATTTTTGACAGTGCTGATGCATTTTACATGATCGCACCAATGTGCAGTGTAGGGTCTATCAAGGCCACGTTTCATAATACTAATGGCTTAGTAGAGCTCTGTATTATGGAACCAGAAATAATATCTTATAAGCCACTGTAAGTATGTTACCTTAACTCTTAGCTCTCGTTTGGTTTAATCAATAGCTACTCAGAGATAGGAGCTATAAAAGCAAATACAACTATATCCAACTCCCCTGGGCTTTAAAAAATGCTGTCCAACCCACACCCCCTGACCACCTCACACACCAGCTCATTGTGACAAGGTGACTAGAGAGCACTTAGGCAACAGTCAATAAAAATAAGGCGGCTTATAGAAGGCCAAGCCTATAAAATCAGCTCTCCATCTGATTAAGAGACTCATCAGGGCTCCACATACACTGCCTGCACTATATACAACCACACAAACATTCTGACTATAGTTTGGTAACTCCTTCTCATTATTAATTAGGTATATGGTATATAGTCACACTCACATTTGGATACAGGCACAGGTCAAGCACTGAGCGCCTATTTGATTACTGGGAAAAGCTTTCTGATGGTTACCTCGCCAAAGAGTGTTGCACTGTAATTAGAGATGGTTATGGTGGAGCAATGCTCCAGTTGAGACAAAGCCTGACAACCCCAAGTAAAAAGAAACACATGTTCTTGAAGATGTTTCAGTTTTAACACATTGACACAAGATATAAAGCAAGATGATTCAAAGTACCACAACATCACCAGTGCACGGCTAGCCACCACACGTACAGTTTGTAGTCCAACTCCAGTGAGGATGTTTTTTATATCTTCAGTGATTCTGAAGCCATGCAAATGCACATTATCTAATGTACTGATGGTTGAGATGTTAAAGAGGAAACCTGAATAAATAAGTGAAGTAAATAACAAATTGCATTGTTATAATGTATCAATCTTAGTTGCTTAACTCAATACACAGAATACATTATTTAATGTCGATCCACTTAAAATGGTTATGAATGCTTTCACAAACTCTCAAACCAATTGAACTCTTATTGGAGATTTTGGACCGGCCTGCTAGACAGCGCTCTCCACCACATCATTAAAACACCAAATGAGAGAATATCTTTTGGAAAAAAGGCACACTTTATGTTGCCCCCCAATGTGTGTGTGTGTGTGTGTGTGTGTGTGTGTGTGTGTGTGTGTGTGTGTGTGTATGTATTACAGTGATTTTACTTTTACTGCTGAGCATTACATCCACTGACTGATAAAACGGCCATTACAGTAAAAAATAAGTTGTGCTATTGTTATGACAAGCTGTTTTGAAGTGAGAGCTTCTCTCTTGTAAATGTTGTGGAGCTGGTGTACCATTTTATGATAATTGTGTTCTCTGGGTGTACAGTTGACAGTGCCCTTGTGTGTGCTTATGCTTTCTGCAGTGGTTACAGGTCTGTTTGTACATGTCTTGTGCTTAATTTGGAAGTAAACTCTGCAGCAGAAATCTCTAGTGGTCCAAGATCTGCGCCTTGGGTCTCACCTCTGGCTCCTGCAACTGGTGTAATTAGCAAAGTTTTATTTTGTGTTGCTCTCTTCATTTATGCTTTGGCTCGTCTCCCACAGTATTTGTAGTCTGTCAATGTTAATGAGCGTGCATATGAGCACAGAAAGCTGCGAGGAGACATCACACACCCACTGCTCTCTTCGCAGTTTTAACACTTCATTAGATAATTAAGGCAGGGGGGTGTTTTTTCTAACATTTCAGATGAGACATTACCATTAATTAGTGTCAAAAGAAAAGGACTGTTTTGCTCAAGCCCTTTGGTACAAAGGGAAACAATCTCTTTACCATGTCATTGAAGCACTAAATGATCTTTCTTCACTCTCTCTCTCTCCTTCTCTCCCTGTTTTTTTTCTTTCACAGGCAGAGGCTGTTCGACTGCAAAAAGGAGGCCCGTCCAAGGACAAGAGCTTTGTCTTGGCATTATGTGATCTGTGCATTCCCTAGGAGCACTCTGCAGTCGAAGAGAGTGAATCGACGCTCCCTTGGAAGCATCACAACCACTAGCACCCCTATCCCCACAATCATCACTCCTGACTGCAGTCACAGTCACCTGTTCTTGACTCAACTTGCCTTCTGTCTCTTTCACCCCCCCACACACACCCCCCCCCACACACACCCCCCATCTTGGAGATAAGGAATGGCCGTGCTAGTTTCCAGCCTCCCCAACGCCTCTTGCAAATAAGGCCTTTCAGCTTGTTTCACAATACCAGAGAAAGGAAGGATAAAACACTCTACAGTCCTCTTTTATACTTCTACCCCGTGTCTCTTTTTAATCTTTGTTTCCTTAGTAACTCAACCCTCAACACACACATTCACTAAGCCAACAGGATTTTTTTTTCATCTTGGTGAAATCTACAGCAGCCGTTCAAGCATTCAAGTATCCAAACCATAAGGAGATTTTTATTTTTTACAAACTTCGCCTGGCATTCTTTTGGAATATCTACTCATGCAGTGTCCCTATGGGGGATTAATTCAGTACGGGAATCCACACTGACTCCTTTTTTGCCTCACATCTCACTACAGTGGTTTTTCAGTGAGGTCTGTTTGTGACTGGAGGTGGACTGAGCCATCATGGCTGGGAAGGGCAACCCGCTGCCGGGCCCCCACCTCAATGGCTTCCCCATGCCCACCTACTCCTACTTCTTCCCCCACATGTTGGGGAGCCTGTCGCCTCCAGCCATGCCAGGACTGCCCATCAGCGGGTACAGCACCCCCTCACCAGCCAGTAAGTAAACTGTCCCCTTTTTGCTTGCTCTGTGCTAGTTCACATTTCAGTTGTGGGCTATTGTGCAGGTTGGTTGTTTTTGTGTCTCCTGGTTTACCTGTGCGGCTGTGGCGCACTGTTTCCTATACAGCTCCCCTACTGCGTGTGTGTTTACATATGCTTGTGCCTGGGAGTCTGCAGGTAAAAGTACTCTTTCATCTCATCCTGGTTAGATCATTCTTATTTGAAAGTTGTGTGTGTTGGTAAACAGAGAGCAGGAGACACACACACACACACACACACACACACACACACACACATATACGCCCACACACCAAAGTCGCCTCCAGCATTGTCCTTAATTTACAAGCCCACACACATCAGCACACGCACATGGAAATGTCAGTGTAGATCACAAGGAAGTGAGGCAGGATAGCCAGAAAGGAGCATTGTTTATTTGGGGAACACACATTTGGCAAGTGTTCCTAAAATAAATTTTATAACAGCTATCATTGTAGCCAACCTACATGCTACAGCTCCTTTATACAATCCATCAAAAGCTTCAGAAGCGAATTGCAAAGTTGAAGTCAAACTAGGTGAAAAGTACCTTTTCAGAAGGAAAGATAAGCTTCTCTGAAGTGTGAAACACATAAAAATATTTCATGTTAAGTCTTGGGTCGAAGATTTTACTTGAGCAAAAGTACAAAAGTATTAATATATTTATGTATTAAAATTAGAAGTCCTCATTATTGTACATAATGAGGCTGCTTTTAAAATGTTATATTACTGATGCATTTACCTGTAAGCGTTATTTAAATGTTCTAGCAGGTTGAGCTTATTTTAACTTCTTTATACTCCTCCTTTATATGCTGTTGCGTAGTTTAATATGTTTACATGTATTGCTTTATAAGAAAATCTCCTTGTGGAGTTAAAAAATCTGCCAGTGCCACAAGTTCCTTTCCTTTTCTTTAGTGCTGCAATCTGCCTTAGTAAGGCAGATTGCAGCACTAAAGAAAAATGACACCTCATACTGGCAAGACACCCATTGAATCGAATTTGATGCAAACATTCTTGAAATATGTTCAAGTGTCTTGAAAAGAGGCTGAAAGGATCTCACTGCGCTCACAGATTTTTCATTTACTTTATGAAAATCAGACTTTACTTTTTTTTACTCTGTGTACACTATGTAAACTCTTAACCTGCAAAGTAACTACTAACTACGGCTCACATGCTGTATGTAGTGGTGTATAAAGTAAAATATTGCACTCTAAACTGTTGTGGAGTGGAACTATGACGTGGAATAAATATATATAAAAGCACACCCCAACTGACTACAAATCAGAATCCTAAAAGTGCTTTGAAATTTAGTTAAATATCATACTACTAGACAATCAATTAAATGGCTGTGACAGGAAAAGAAAGATGAACTAAAGCAGTACAGTTGGTGGTGCGGACGTACAGTCAGCGCATGTGTATTGGTGTGGACAGGCCTCTCTCTCACAGGTTCAGAGGGGGTCAGTGTATTGACTTTCTATCTGCTGGAGTTTGCATTGGCAGTCAGCGCAGAGGGAAGTGAAGAACAGTTACTGCCCAGCCCAGTCACTCCCACTTCCCCAATACCAGATACCCCACCTCACTCACAAAGACTGGAGCTCAGATTCCTCTTTTTACACTGTTGCACTTCGGGCCACTCTCCCTGTGTTTGCTATGTGGGGCGGCAAGGTTCCTTTCCTTTTGCCTGGACAAACATTTCCTGTCTGTAAACACTGGAGAGCCAGGGACACCACAGCTTCCTGACAACCCCCCCATCCCCACAAAACACAATCATTGCTCTTCATGCTGTCTCACTTTCTCTCACTACTGCTCCTCTTTGCATGCAGATAACTGCAGGCATAATTCACACACACTCACACCCACCCCCACAGCAACAGAAACACGTGTCTCCTTCCATATACTTATACACGCTGTAACACAAACACACAACCTTCACCCCCTTACACTTCCTCGTCATATACCCCTCTCTGGCAGATCATCTCTCTCTCCCTCTTGCCCAAACACCTCTTTTTCACACACACACACACACACACACACACACACACACACACACACACAAGCCCTCACCAACCACATTCAGTACTGAGCAGTGACGAAAGAGATAGAAAGAGAGTGAGAGTTGGGGGCGGGGGTCAGTTTGAACGAGCGGGATTTACAGAAAATCAGATTGGAGGCAATAGAGCCAAGCATTGGACTCGATGGATTTCAGCCTTTATACATTTATCTTTTATCTGGATTGTCTATAGACATCATATATGTGGTATTATGGATTTCCTGTTCTGCAAAAAATGCTGACTGCTGCGCGTGTTGTTACTTGTGGATTGGAGAGGCATTTACACTCTGTCCACCTGATCGGATCTCAAAGGTGTCACAGTCTAATCATATATGATGCAGGTGTAAACTGCTGATGTAGAAGGGCGTTATTGGCAGTTCCCGAAGGGGATAATGTTGAGTAAACAGTCCCCAAGCCAAGCCTTGACTTTTTTGTTTTAACGCTGAACTCATTTGCCATCAGAATCTTGTTCAGTAGGCCTTCTTTTCTTTCTGGTGTCTTTCCTCTGGTCACTCATCCTCCTGCGCTCCATTCTCAGAGTTGTCCAGCTCGGCCTCCTTTAGCAAATCACAATAGACCAATTATTTGGACCAAGCAGAGCAGAAGGGTTCATCAAGGCGTACAACACACACACTCTCTCTCTTTCTGTGTCTCTCCAGCTCTGGCCTCCTGGGTTACGTCTTTGCACTACATTATCGGAAAATCATCAGGTTAGGTTAAACCCAGGAGCTAAGCAATTTCAGATATTGATATTACATTTATTGCCTGCAGCTTTATTAGTTAACTGAATATTATCACCATGGATTGATCACACATGCACACTCACAAACATGCTGTATTGAACACAGCCAAATATCTATGTCCACGTTCATAAGCGTACAGAACTTTCATTAGTGTTTTCAATTAAAATCCTTCACGCCTGTATGAAAATGGTACTATTGATCCCGTTATTATCATTAAAGCCTTCCGCTGTCTGTCACCAACTCTTGACACTGTGCTATTACATTAGCACAGTGTTATGAGGGATCATAATGAATGGAGCCAGCTTGCTACCTGCTGCCACGGCGGACTAATTGGCTTTTCCCCACAGAGCGCTCTTGTTTCAGCAGCCACAGTAATTGCTTGGTACAGGAGCGTTTCCTAGGAAGGCTAACACACACGGGCACCATCTCTTTTGACTTATTAGGCGGCTTTTATGGCATTTATGAATATACTTTTGGGCCCGTAGGAGAAATATGAAAGGATATTTTCAGTGTGTGTGTGTATTACCTATCCCGTCAAGCAGCCCACAGTGGAATGCACTAACCATGGGTAAATATGGTTATGGTAATGTTGGGCAAAGTGTGTGTGTGTGCTGGTTTCTGGACAGACAGGTGGTTCCTCTCCGCGCCGGTGGTCTGCAGGAATCAAGGGGGCATGTCAGTACACTCCATGGGTGGCAAAAACACACACTTTCACATACACACATGGTTTGTTTATGGTAGGGATAAGGATGGTGAAAGTGAGAAACACTAGCGGTGTGCTCCCCTTTGGCAGCAATCCAACGTGTGTGTGGTTACGACACCAACGCGCAAACTATTGACTGGAGCACTTTCTCTATCAGGTTAGTAGATACCAGCCATTTAGCCACTTCAGTACGACACTCACACACACACACAGACTCAAACTCACAGACAGAATCAGTACCCCTGGGGGTCTGGTTGTCATTATTGAAAAGCCATTTGAGGGGTGCCGATACTCTGATAGCACGGATGCAGGCTTATTAAACATGGCGTGTAAAACACATTTAGCATGGCAGCATAGCACTCATTCACCCCAGCCTAACGACCTTGTTAATTAACTGCAGAGCACTGGGAGGCTGGAAAATGAGCACAAAGACTGTCCTATTCTTACATTTCCAAAGAAGTAATTGATGCTACTTTGAGATCCTTGGCACATCACAGGTAGCTGAAGAGTTTTATTCTTTCTGTTGAATCAGATTACAAATACAGTAAGATGATTTCAACAAGTTTGATGCATTGTAATAGATAGAATAGAACTTGTACATTTATTGTGATTGCTGGCCATAGTTAAAAACTGTTGTTAAAAACATTAATACTGGACAATTCTTCAAAACCCCTGAATGTCCAAGCGCATGACTACCATAATGGTTAGGGAAAGACTGTGGTTATGATCAATATAAAAGTTAACTTTAATCAAAGGTAGTGGTGCTCCAATTAGGTTTTTTGGGCCGATTGCTGAAATCAGTATAGGATCATTGGGCCTATTTGAAGACTTTTATTTATCATGTAGCATTATCCAGTATACAGTGTATTTATTTAATTAAGTATCATGAAATGACAACTGTTTATTTTATTGCCAGGAGACATCGGCAACAAATTCCACTCCCTCTGTCTTGGAGACTTAAACCATAGCAGCCTTTGCCTGGCGAACATCTTATAGCTTAAAAAATATAGCTTTCCTGTGGAATAAACTACAAAAACAGAACAAACAGCATTTTTATATATTTACTTCAATTATAAAAACTGCAACAAAAAGGCTGTAACCAAAATATTCAGGAGATAAAGGCATCATCAGTGGATGATATACTCTTAAGTAGCCGCTTTTTGTTCTGGAAAGCTCAGGCAGGTTCTGTGGGCTTTAGGTGGTAGATAGAGGGAGAGTGGGCTAGGGAGAGGAGTCATAACTGTCATCAATAAGATTTGTTAATTCCATATTATACTGTTCATATATTGTTAATATTACTTATAGTTACTATATTCATTATAATTTCATATGGTTTACCACTAATATAGGCCAAATATAATTTCAATGGGTTGTTTTCATTTATTAAATCCTTGTGCAAGAAGCAGAGTCTACATCTTTTATATAGGCCTAGTTCTACCGGCTTTACCAGAGGAGAGAGTAGCAAACACTTTAAATACGGTCAGCAGGTTTTTATTTGATTTTATAATTTTAAGATTTACAGGGAAACATTTAAACGCGAGGATACCAAGTGAGAACGGAAAAATACGGGAGAATACCGGGGAAAACGTGAGGGTTGACATGAAACGTAGCAAAGTCTCCGTTTTATAACGAAAATGGAGAGAGAGAGAGTCAGTCAGCTGATTGAGTGGCGCCTCTCTTTGCATCAGGAAACTCGCACTGAACGATCAGTCTCTCTCTGCCTGATACGCTGTGGGTCAAGACAATTAAACTGGTAGTGGGAAGCGTGTCTGTGAGATGAGCACGACCGCGACAGTTTCACATGATCGCTCCTGCTTGTTGCTCTGCTTGTCTGATTGCTGCTCAACTCTCATTGTAAGTGATTAACTGGGCGCATCAAAGCTTCCTGTCTGAAAAGGACTTTGATGCTAGCTAGCTTTGAAAACTGCTCAGACCGCGTAGTGAAACCATTTTTGCTGCCGTTGAAAATTTGTCTGGCGAGTATTGCATCATCTGATTGGCATTTCTGATCAGCCTATTTAGAGACGACCGATCAAACAATCCATTATTGGCCGATTACAATCGGTGATCGATCGATTGAGCACCCTTAATTAAAGGTTTGCATAGGGATTGAAATTCCATTTCTCCCTTTCTGCATTAAGGGAACACATTGGCGTTGGATTTAAATTGTGAGGTGTAGAATTGACTAATGTGAGGGAAACTGAGCTGTGGCAGTATAACACACGCCGTCCTGGAGAGCAAATATGGTGGTAGTGAAAGGTAGCCTATAGGTACCCATGTTACCCTGGAAAATTGTGTAAAAATGGGCAGATCTGGCTTTGGAGAAAGTCCGCTGAAAGAGGGAAAGCCAAAAGATGAGAGAGACAGAGAGCATCAGAGAGGGATGGAGAGACAGAGATGCAGGCGTTCTGTGCAGACACACACACACACACACACACACACACACACACACACACGCACACACATTGACAAACACACACGCTGGCTTTGGCATCACCCGTGTGCTGTGCCAGCATAATGTGCCAAATCACCAGCAAGCTTAGCCAAAATGGGCTCCCACAAGAAAACCCATCACCCTTTCATTTGGCCCTCTGGCCTTCCCCAACATCTTCTTCATTTCTGTTTTTTTGGCCCCTGCACATCTCTTGTTCTCTCCCTGTCATTTCTCCAGCTCCACCCCCCCACCCCCACCCCACAAACACACACACACTTCATCACTACTCCTTCTGTGGGGTTTGTCGTTTTTCCTTGCCTGATCCCTCCTTCCATGTCCACTCATATCCTTTCCGCACTCATCTCACCTTTCTCTCTCATTCTCTAATATCCTCCTTTCTTCACACCCTCCTTTTCTCTACCTTGGGACTTGACAGAGCTATCATTACCTTGCCACCTATTTACACAGCCTGTTATTTTCCATTTGCTTTGAGGGGACCTGGGGCCAAATCCCTGTCCAGAATACTTGATCCTAGCCACAGGATTTATCCCCAAGTGGCTTGGCAAGCATGGTCCCCCCCCCCCCCCTTGTTCTTTTTCTCCCTCTATTTCTTCCTCTATCTCTTGCTCTCTCATTCTGTCTTTCTTTCTATAGGTTTTTTCCCCTTCCATGGCCGCTTATGCAAATACAGGCCCTCTTTTTCAAAGAGCTGTCTACCCATAATCCGATGGATGGCTCCATTTTCAGAGTGAACACACACACACTCACACACACAGAAAGGCTGAATGCATCACACACTCTATTAGGAATACGAGGACACGTGCTATCTCTCATAAACATTCCCACCAACTGGCACATACATGCACACATGCGTTCAGATACACACACAAAGACTGACACACGAGCACAGAGAGAAAGCCCTCCTCTGCAGCATGGGTGTTATATTTCGAGCATAGAGTGCTTTAAGCTGCAGTTGGGCCATAACAACTTCAAAAACCAGCAGGCTGTCGCCAGCAGCCATGCAGCACTCAGTTGGGTAAACACTGGCATAATCTAAATCTCTCTCTGATGTGCCAGCGCAAGTATCTTTATTTCTGCACTCTTCAAAGGCCCCGCAAGGAAGTCAAGACAAGGGTAAAGTGATAAGAACCCCCCCCCCTTTCTTTTCTCTCTCATTCTCAACGGCTTCCCTATCCTTTCCTTCAACCCACTCTCGCACTGACCCCCTTACTTTTATCTCCTCCCTCCTCCCCACACACATCTCTATCTTCTTATGCCCTTTTTGCAGTACCCGTTGCATACAGCCATAATTCACACTGCTGCATACATTCAAATGTCAATGAGTCTCTCACAGGCATCATTTCTTTATTCTCCTTTGATAAGCGTCAGGGATGACGGCATCTGTAAAATATAGGACAGTTACCTAATGGAGGAGATGAGGGAGCTAAGGAAAGGAGAGAGCTGAGGAAAGGTGCTGAGAGGTTGTGCGGGTTCTGCCATGCACAGCTAGGAGAGTGATTGAATTATCAAGCAGAGCTTTGCTTGTTGTCCAAGGGGGTTTCAGAGGGAAAGCCCTTTTCTCAGCGGCTAATGCGCTTTTTCAGCCTAGCACAATGGCTAGCTGTGTTACGCAAAGGGGCTAAGAGAGCTCTGTTCGGCCGGAGCTTATGGGGCCACCAGCTCTCTCTTGGCACCTCTCTAAGGGGCCCCTGGCCACACTTAACCTCAAGCCTGTCTGGTAGCATTAGCACATAGCCTCCTCAGAGTGGAAAGATAATGCACTGGTGACAGCATTAGCACATTACAGGCCTAAGTGTAGTATAGGCTAACTAGTGCACATTGAATTCTGCTGTTTTTAGATGATCATTAGCATTCCAGAGATTTGTGGACACCCACCTTTAATGCTGTGGCCACTTTCTGAGTCTGTCAGGTGTATTCATTACCTTTTTCTGTAATGGTCTTTGGAAAGACAAGTCTTTGTTATTGCGCCTTTTCACTTAGCCTAGTTGTCTAGCTGTGCTTTTAGTCAAAGCTGTGAGGTATTGTATTAAGTTGAATACTGAAGCCTTTTTTCTATAGTGTTTCATGATACTGATATACAGAAAACCCTCTCGAAGCAAATACAATGTCATCATTAGTAATGTTTCTTATTCATTAAAAGAGCGATTTTGTCATTCAACCTCAGGCTCCATTTGTGT